CTTTTAAATGATTAAAGAAGGGTTCTTTTCTGCTTTCAGGGCCGGCCCAAACCAATTTGGCGCCCTAGGCAAGATTTCAGTTGGCGCCTGTTTTGCAATTTTCTAAATCTCACAGCCAGTTTACAAACATTCATGTATTAAATGAAATATTTTTGTCTTTTTTTGTGTGTATTTTTTAACTAATTAATATAGTTAACAATAAAATCCATTTGAAACAGAATACCAGAAGTCTATCTCATAAATGCCAATGTTTACTGACAGCAATGAGGAACACCTGTTCAAGTTAAGAACAGCTGTGGAGTGAAGCAGTTCTAGGAGGGTCCAGGAGGTATTCACCTCCCAGAAAGTTTTGCTAAGTATCTACTAAAACTCTGCATTTTAAAGCTATTTGAAGAGACTTTTACATAAAACGTAACCTTTTTTATGAAGATACCAGCATCTAACCAGAACTTTATTTTTGTACATAGCTGAAACTTTCATTATCCTCATTTTGTTTTCTATTTACACACTGAGCACCAGTAGTTAGTCTTGACAGCATCATCATATATTTTTTCACAAAATGTCCTCTGCACAATATAACACTTCATGTAGTTCATAAATTTGAGTAACCAGACTAAATCTACAGGCTAAATCAATTATACTCTGATAAAAAGCCATACTTTTTTTGTCCCTCATTTGTGGTCCCCCCTAGAAGAATACTGTCCTTAGCATCTGCCTATTCTGCCTATGCTGCCAGCCCTGTCTACTTTTATACAAACATGGCTGTTAGACACTGATTTTCATCTTCACAGCCCTGTGGGGGAACAATGTCATTGAGTCAAATTTGATGAAGTAACAAAGCAAGAAAATAAATGGAGGAAATTGGATTAATCAAACACAAGCACATGAAAGTCAGATTTAGTTTTGCTGTTACCATCATAAAGAGAACAATGGTCTTTTTTATTTAGCTATCGTCTCTAAAAGTATAAAATAAAATAAAGCAAATTTCTACGTAACTTTAAATGCATCCAGAAACATTTAAGCAGTAATATCAACTATAATATGCAGCCACAGATTTGTCTCACACAACTTTAAGGGCAGGAATGATCTGACTGCAGATGGAGGTGGAGCTTTAGCTTTAATCTCCATCATCCTATTGACAAAAAATAAATAAAAAAATCAGACTCGAGTTAACCTCTACATGATGAAATGAAACAGCTTAGAAAGTATCAAGATCTCTTGATATGATAAAGGCACGCGGGGCATTCGCCAGCCTTTGTGTTGTTTCCAACACGTTAGAAAAATCCTTTTCTTTTCTTGTATAATACATGGTTGGTAGCAAAATGGATGATTGCTATCTAGCATCTGATAAAACGGTGCCGCGGGGGTGCAGTTCTAACAAGTCACTCCTGTATCTTTTAAAAAGAACTTACTTGCACGTCATCTGATGACGGCTCGTAGCTCGCCCGCTTGAAGGTCTCGGTCACGTTGCGAAGGATTTCCACCGAAGACAGCAGGTCGCCGGCATAGAAGTTCCTCCTCTGGGTCAGGTCCAGCAGGTTTTTGGTGACCTGGGACATCCCATCCCCCGCCAGCATCCTCTGACCCTTGGCAAGATGGCCCTGAACCTCCAAGAACAGGAGAAGACAGAACTTGGGGCATCGGTGTCCTCTGACAGTACACAATGCACACGCTAAGCTACACGTTTTGGAGGAAATGGAGTGCAAAAAAAATTCAGGGAGGAAAAGACTCGACTCTCCGAGGCCCCCTTTGTTTGGCGCTTATATCTTAGCCAGCCCGAAATGTTTTCTGCCTCACGGATGTTTTGAAATGAGCCAGTATGAATAAAGGGAGGGAACTGGAGCAGAAGACACACATTTAGGCAGAAATTGCACAGCGAAATGACATTTCACATCATTGCGCTGGAATTATGTCCATAAATACACAATCACAGGTGCAGAACTGTGTGTGCTGTCTCAGCCTTTGTAAATCATTTTGTCTTCAACTGTGATTGGGGATGTTACTAAAATTGCCTATTCTAAAGCTGGGCTATCTGGAAACACAGTAAAATCAACACTTTTGGAAAAAAACAATATGATATATAGGCCTGTCACAATAACAAATTTTACAGGACAATAAAATGTCTTGGAAATTATTGGGATAAATGATGATAATGTTTGGAGACCAGRTTAAACTAATATACTGTAATGACACCAAACAAAGAGGTYGACACGAAGAAAACAAACAATAAGMCAAATGAAAAACTATCATATTKATTTTAATTTTTCATCATCATTTTAATTGATCGTAKAATTAATTGATTTAATGCTTATCGTGACGGGCCTAATGATATAATGTATTTAGGCTTCATTTACAAACAGCATTTATGTAATATTGCAAAACACCAATGAAATAATTAAAACAACTTTAAAGGGATCCTTGATTAGTTGTTACATTACACTTTATTTGATAAACACTTATTTTAGCTGTAAAATAAAGACTGTGAAAATACTGTAGGCTTTTTAGTTTTGTAAATTTTTAAAGATATATTTTAACGCGCACGGAGCCATTTTATTTACACTCAAAGCATTCTGGGTAAATGATGACGTGGATAGGTCCTCTGTGTGAGCGAGCTATATCCACCCTGAAGGTTAATCTTGGACAATATCTGAGAATGAAACCAGAGAGTGTTGACAGAGAGGAGAAGGTAGAAATGACTCAGCCTGTAACTGAAAATATGGATGGAGGACATTAGAGCTGCTTCATGGAAGAAGAACCTCAGCTTAGCCTGTTAACCTTTGCGCTAGCACCAGCGCTATATTGCCTTATATGCATAAGCTCAGCACTAGCGCGACAAACTAACAAGCTAAACTGAGGTCCTCCATCCATATTTTCAGTCATTTTTGTGTTCCTCTCTCTGTCATGTGGATGGAGGACCTCAGTGACGAGAGGAGAATGTGTAGCGCTGAGCTAATACATATATATGATGATAGCATCTGGGCTAACGTTAAGGCTAACAGGCTAAGCTGAGGTTCTTCTTCTATGAAGCAGCTCTGTTGTTCTCCATCCATATTTTTCAGTTACAGGCTGAGTCATTTCTACCTTCTCCTCTCTGTCAACGCTCTCTGGTTTCATTTAAAAGAGCCAACCATCAGATATTGTCCAAAAATAACCTTCAGGGTGGAATAGCTCACTAGCAGTCTCGCACCGAGGACCTATCCACGTCATCATTTACCCAGAATGCTTTGCGTGTAAATAAAATGGCCCTGTCCGTGTTATAAAATTTGTAACTTTTAGTTAAAAAAATTATAGAAATTAAACAACCTACAATGTTTTTACAGTCTTTATTTTACAGTTAAAATATATGTTTATTAAATAAAGCCTAATGTTACAACTAAACAGGGATCCCTTTAAAAACTTGATGTTCGTTCAAAGTTCACCTATTTTTTTTGTCAAAAAATAAAATAAATAAAATCTCCTAAATTTAGATGACTTGCTTTTCGTATGTGTCAATGCTTGCCAAAAATATTTTTGTAAAATTTTCATAGGAGGTCATTTTAAACAGTGACTGCAAGTAGCCCGGTCTTTGTGGGGACGGTACAACAAAGATCCAAATGAGAACATGCCAGAAACTATAAATCAAACATTATAAGGATTTACTGATGCCCATTCATTAAAAAAGGTAATTTGGCCAAATCTGTATTTTAATTTGCTCCTCTATTGAAAGCGGTTAATCTTTGGCTATGGGCGTGATGAGAGTGGGGGGCTCAGGCGGGGGTTGGAGAAAACACTGGGGAGGTAATTTATGATACACTGGATACAGAGGCTGTGAGAGGAAGCTGACTTTGCACCTACTGATTGCTGCAAGTATCTGAATTCGTTGGTTATGCATCGAGCGTAGCTGGGCTGCTCCCAGAAGGCCATGCCGCGGTGATCCAAAGAGCAGCGTCGACTAGTGGTGCCTGCGAGAGGGGAGGGAGACGGCGACAGATTTGGAGAGGGGAATCGTGAGGGAGGGATGAGAGCGGAGATGAGTCGGCAGAGAACATTAAAAAAAAAGGAGGTGGGGGTGGAGGGGATTAGGTCCAAAGGATGGGGGAAAAGAAAGGCAGATGGAAGTGGAGCGACAAAAGGGTAGGACAAAAGAAGAGAGAGAAATAATTGTTTCAGTGAGAAGCTTAGGCTTTCTCCTTTGTCCATTTATTTTGCCCTTAACTTCAAAATCTTACGCTGCCCATTAGCGTTAAACTATAAGCATATTTTCACAGAAATAGGAGGTGAAATAAAGGAAGTCATGCCGTATTTCTGCACAGTCCCGAGGCCTTTAATGTGTGCTTTGCGTGCCATGCTGATCCGGCTCACAGTTTTTAGCTCAAACACGGCTGCAGCTGAGTTGTGATAGCTGTCAGGCATTTAAACAGTGATCCAGAAAGAGAGAGAACGACCCAATATCCACCCACTTTGGCATTTACAGCCAACATAAGGGCCCAATATCCCTTGGAGTGCACTTCACACATCACCCTGCATCTCCAGCACAGGTGCTTCACATCCTAAAGGAAGACTCCCACGGCACAAAACATTCCCCCCCCCCCGGCATCCGCGCTTCACACAAACTCTTTACTATCTCCTCGTCGCTCTCTCTGTCTCTGGCGTTCACACACTAGCGCACACAGAGAGAACAGCGTCCAAAACCACACCTCCTACACCCACCCTTTCCATGGCTACAACTTAGAGATATTCACTGAAGCTGTGAGTGTACAAAAAAAAAAAAACCCTTACTGTGCTGGGAGCATCAATGCAGCACCATGAGCCAGCCCACAAGGCATCAGCAGAGGCCTACTGCTTCACACTGCAATGAGCATCTGTCGCCCTCCAAAGCGGCTCCACTTGGATGCTCGATGTTACGGTACCAGCAATCCGAAGAGTACATTCAGACCCCGTGGCTCAAAGAAGTTGGCAGTAAATGCATCTCATGACAGCTTGATATACCCAGAAATTTGTTTTGTTTTGTTTTGTTTTTATTCTGTTTCGGCTCCTATTTGTTGCTGTTAACTAAGAAAGGCAGCACGATTTACTTGGAGGGACTTGGCAACAAAGTTTAAAGAAGTCATCGGCCCTAAATTATGGAATGACTTGCCTTTGCAGGTCAGAGAGGCCCCTTCACTGCCCACTTTTAAAGCTCGTCTTAAAACCCATCTGTTTTACTTGGCTTTTAACACCAGCGGGATCTAGTTTTTAAATTGTATGTTTTTGTTTTTAAACCGTTTTTAATCACTTTTTATTATGTTGTTGTTTTAATGTACAGCACTTTGTATCAGTTGTGGTTGTTTTAAAGTGCTTTATAAATAAAGTTGGTATGGTATGGTATGGTAT